CAAGTGATCCGCCCTCCTCGGCCTCCCAAAGTGCTGGGATTACAGGTGTGAGCCATCGCGCCCCGCCCTATTGTTGCCCTTATTCTTGGACAACCTGAGTAAAGTTGCAGGTGCCAGGTTTGGATCAGACAGACCCTGGGTGCATCCTGCTGACTTGAGGGAGAGTTGGGAGAGCACGAGAAAATCAGAGAGGGGACCCAGCGCTGTGGCTCATGCCTGTAATCTGAGCACTTTGGGAGGCCAAAGCGGGTGGATCACTTGACCTCAGGAGTTCGAGACCAGCCTGGCCAACATGATCAAACCCCGTCTTTACTAAAAATACAAAAATTAGCCAAGAGGGTGGTGCGCGCCTGTAATCCCAGCTGCTCTGGAAGCTGAGGTGGGAGAATCCCTTGAACCTGGGAGGCAGACGCTGCAGTGAGCTATTGTGCCACTATACTCCAGCCTGGGTGACAGAGCGGGACTCGGGCTTGAAAAAAAAGAAAAGAAAGAAAAAGAAAACAAGAAAATCAGAGCGGGGAAGAGGAGAGAGAAAAAGCTAGATGGACAGACACAGGGAGGGAGAAAGAGACCAGAGGAAGACAGACAGATGGACGGACAGATGCAGCAGGGCAGAGGGCCACACCTTGGTGAACACGTAGTCCATGTGCCCCAGGCGGCAGCCCTCCTTGTTGAGGGGGATGAAGTTTCCCGTCCGGCGACAGCACAGTGGGGGCCAGGGGAACACCACCTCCGGAGTGGCCTCCCGGAAGGCTGACGTGAAGTTCACCCAGTCCATGGGACCAGATGTGCCACAGCACTCTTGCTGGAGAGAAAAGCAGGGGGTCAGGCGGGCTCGGGCTCAGAGAGGATAGTCGCTTGCCTGAGGTCACACAGCAAGGAGGAGCCGGGTTGGCCTTTGACATAGCTGGACCCAACTTCCCCATGTCCTGGGCCTCCAAACGAGTGTGTCCGGTGGGTGTCTGTGTGTGAGCACGGAGCAGACGATATTTGTCCCGGAACCAGGAGGCTGATGGGGGAATTTGGATCAAACCCGTACCTCTGACTTATTTTAAAATATTTTTACCAGGCATGGTGTCTCATGCCTGTAATCCCAGCTTTTTGGGAGGCCAAGGTGGGTGGATCACCTGAGGTCAGGGGTTCGAGGCCAGCCTGACCAACATGATGAAACCCCATCTCTACTAAAAATACAAAATTAGCCAGGTGTGGTGGTGGGCCCCTGTACTCCCAGCTACTTGGGAGGCTGAGGCAGGAGAATCGCTTGAACCCGGGAGGTGGCGATTGCAGTGAGCCGAGATTGTGCCACTGCACTCCACCCTGGGAATCAAGTATGAAACTCCATCTCAAAAAATAAAATAAAATAAAATAAAATATGCTGAAAAAATAACACAAAAAGGGCAGATTTCTGGCTTTTCCTGGCCTTGGCAAGGAATCCAGGTGTTTAATTTGTGGCTCCTGAATGAGGAAAACATAGGCTTGGGCACCCTTCAAACATGGGTTCAAATCCTGGCTAGCTAGAGGACTTGGGCCACATTGACACCTCAGTTTTCCTTGAGTCGTCAATTTCTTCCTTTTTTTTTCTGTTGAGACGGAGTCTCCCTCTGTTGCCCAGGCTGGAGTGCAGTGGCGCCATCTTGGCTCACTGCAACCTCTGCCTCCTGGGTTCAAGCGATTCTCCTGCCTCAGCCTCCCAAGTAGCTGGAATCACAGGCACACACCACCACACCTGGCTAATTTTTGTATTTTTTGTGGAGACAGGGTTTCACCATGTTGGCCAGGATGGTCTCGAACCCCTGAATTCAAGTGACCTGCCCATCTCAGCCTCCCAAAGTGTTGGGATTATAGGTGTGAGCCTCTGCGCCCAGCCAATTTCTTCCTCTTCCGATGCAATATCATGCTGGATTTGGTGAAGAGTGTATCTCTTCAAACCTGGAAGTCTGAGTTTGAATCCTTCCAGTTCTGTGACCTACCAGGTGTGTGACCTCATGCAAGATATTCAACCTCTTGCTTTGGTCTCCTCATCACTGAAAGGCTGATCTCCCTTATGGGGTGGTCGTGAGGATTAAAAAAGCTTTAAAAGTGCTTTGAGGCCAGGCACTTGTGGCTCATGCCTGTAATCTCAGCACTTCGAGAGGCGGAGGTGGGAGAATCGCTCCAATCCTGAGCCCAGGAGTTCGAGACCAGCCTCTGCAATAGAGCAAGACCCCCATCTCCACAAAAAATAATTTAAAAAATTTAGCCGGGCGTGGTGGGGTGCACCTGTATTCCCAGCTACTTGGGAGGCTGAGGCAGGAGGATCACTTGAGCCCAGGAGTTGGAGGTTGCAGTGAGCTATGATCACTCCAGCCTGGGCAACAGAGCAAGACCCTATCTCAAAATATAAAAATAAAAGTCCTTTGAACTTTTAAACCCAAGTTAAAAGTTAAACCCAAGTTAGTGCTCAGTGAATAGTGCTGTTACTATTGTTATTATTATCAACATTTCTGTTGAGGTAGTATGTGTAGGCTAAGAGCAGGGGGTCAGGAGCTAGGCTGCTGGGTTCCAATCCCAGCTCCCACCACCTATGGACTGCATGGCCTCGGGCAAGGGACTTTCCCTTTCTGGGCCTGTTTACTCATCTGCAGAAGGGTTTACTCATCCGCAGCCCTGCTCTCCTGGAGATGTCATGAGTGGATGTCTTTAAGGCACTCACTCCTCTACAAGAGGGCACATCGGGCGCTCTATCGGCCTCTGTGGACGGAGCCCCGGGCCCTCCCGGCACCCGGGCCACCCTGCCCACCTCAATCATGACGCGGTCCCAGAGGCGGGTCAGCTCCTGGCCCTGGTGGGTGTCAGCGCTGTAGAAGGTCAACATCTGCTTGGTGATCAGGGATGGGCTGGACACCATCTGCGGAGAACAGGGAAGAGCAGGGGTCGGCAGGGCTGGGTGGGGAGACCGGACAACCTCCGCCCCGCCGCACCGGGACCCTCGCCCCTCCCATGCAGGTCAGGCCCCTCCCCAGGCCTCGCCGGGCTCACGTAGTCACGGTGGGTGTAGGACGTGATGCAGGAAGCGCACTCGAAGATGTAGACGATGAGCATGAGCACCAGGTACTGGGGAGACAGAGGGAGGACGGCCCGTCGGGCAGAGCCCGTGAAGCCACACCCCATCAGGGACGCATCATTGCGGAAATGCAAGTTTTTAAAAAGTTTGGGGCAGTGTGACTAGTAGCATCCATAATATGTGGTGGGTATTCAGGCGTTCGCTGTACAAGTCTTCCAACTTTTCTGTATTTTGAAATATTTAATTTAATTAATTTATTTTTGAGACAGGCCAGGCGTGGTGGCTCACGCGTGTAATCCCAGCACTTTGGGAGGCCAAGGGGTGGATCACCTGAGGTCAGGAGTTCGAGACCAGCCTGGCCAATATGGTGAAACCCCTTCTGTAGTAAAAATACAAAAATTAGGGCTGGGCATTTGTGGCTCACGCCTGTAATCCCAGCACTTTGGGAGGCTGAGGTGGGTGGATCACTTGAGGTCAAGAGTTTGAGACCAGCTGGGCCAACATGGCAAAACCCCATCTCTATTAAAAATACAAAAATTAGCTGGGAATGGTGGCACGGGCCTGTGGTCCCAGCTATTTGGGAGACTGAGACAGGAGAATCGCCTGAACCCGGGAGGCGGAGGTTGCAGGTAGCTGAGATTGCGCCGCTGTGCTCTAGCCTGATGATGCTTGTAATCCCAGCTACTCAGGAGGCTAAGGAAGGATAACTGCTTGAACCTGGGAGGCGGAGGTTGCAGTGAGCTGAGATCGTGCCACTGCACGATCGCCTGGGCGACAGAGGGAGACTCCATCTCAAAAAAAAAAAAATTATATATATATATATATAAAATTTTTGACATAGGGTCTCCCTCTGTCGCCTAGGCTGGTCTGCTGTGGCAGGATCATAGCTCATTGCAGCCTCTGCCTCCCAGGTTCAGGTGATCCTCTTGCCTCAGCCTTCTAAGTATCTGGGACTACAGGCACATGCCACCATGTCTGGCTAATTTTTAAATTTTCTGTAGAGATAGGGTCTTGCTACGTTGCACAGGCTGGTCTCAGACTCCTGAGCTCAAGTGATCCTCCTTCCTCAGCCTCCCAAAGTGCGGGATTATAGGAGTGAGCCACCGCACCCAGCCAGAAATATTTTATAATAAAATGTCAAGGGAAAATGAAATTTAAAAAGTAACATATTTGCCAAAGTTAAGTATTGACTTAGAATCACTAAATAAATGTCTACTATAAAAAGAGAAAAATATCTGGGATAAATAGATGACAGCAAAAAAAAAAAAAAAAAAAGCTAAAGAAAAGAAAATTAAAAAACAAAGACATTTGGGGCCAGGCACAGTGGCTCGTGCTTGTAATCCCAGCACTTTGGGAGGCCAAGGCAGGTGGATCACCGAAGGTTGGGAGTTCAAGACCAGCCTGAGCAACATGGAGAAACCCCATCTCTACTAAAAATACAAAATTAGCCGGGTGTGGTGGCGCATGCCTGTAATCTCAGCTACTCGGGAGGCTGAAGCATGAGAATTGCTTGAACCCGTGGGGCAGAGGTTGCAGTGAGCCCAGATTGTACCATTATACTCCAGCCTAGGCAACAAGAGTGAAACTCTGTCTCAAAAAATAATAATATAAATAAACAAATAAAGACATTCTCTGCCAGATGCAGTGGCTCATGCCTGTAATCCCAGCACTTTGGGAGGCCGAGGTGGGAGGATTGCTTGAACCCTGGAGTTCAAGATCAGCCTGGGCAACACAGTGAGACCCCGTCGCTACAAAAAATAAAATTAGTTAAGCATGGTTACTACTAGTGGTAGTGTTAGTCCTAGCTACTTGGGAGGCTGAGGTTGGAGGATCGTTTCAGCCCGAGAGTTCAAGGCAGCAAAGAGTTATGATTGTGCCACTGTACTCCAGCCTGGGCAACAGAGTGAGACCCTGTCTAGAAAAACAAAGGAAGGAAGAAAAGAAGGAAGGAGGGAAAGAAGGAGGGAGGGAGGAAAGGGAGGAAAGAAGGAAGGGAAAGGAGGGAAAGGAGGAAGGGAAGGAAGTCCATGGCTCCATCGTACCCAGGATAAAGCCAAAGTCCACCATACCTGCCTGTCTAGAAAAATGAAGGAAGGAAGGAAGGAAGGAAGGGAGGGAGGGAAAGAGTCCATGGCTCCATCTTACTCAGGATAAAGCCAAAGACCACAACACCTGCCTTCCCTCCCGCTTCCTTCCCATCCCCACTCCTCACTGTTCTCCTCCCCACCTGTCTGCCTCATGTCCTCTCACCCCCCAACCTCCTCCTCACTCAGCTCCAGCTGCTTTGGACTCCTGGCCCGCTCTGGCCTCAGAGCCTTTGCCCTTGCTGCCACCTCCACCTGGAAGGCTCTTGCTCCAGTTACACACATGCCTCACCCCCAGTGCCTCTAGGTCTTTGCTTTCCCTGGCAGTGAGGTCTTCCCTCGCCCTCCTCGGCTCCTGACCTCCCCTCCTGTTCACTGTCTTCCTCCTCTGAGCACCACTCCCGTGGGTCAAGGGCTTTTATGTTTCACTCAGCACAGAGTCCCAGTGCCCAGCGTAGGGCTCAGCACGTAGCTCCTGCTCATAAGCATTTGTTCATCAAATAAGTGGCTGCTCCTGGGAATCTGGAAAACCCTTGGCTGTCGAGGAAGCACAGTGCTGTCTCTGTGTCACTGGGGCCTGGATTGGAATCCCAGGTCTCCTGCTCACCTGGGAGAGGGTGTTGGCCTCTTTCAGCCTCAGTTTCCTCATCTGGTAAATGGGTTGAAAAGCACTAACTGTGAAGGGCTTCTGGGAAGATTGAGGAAGCTCATTTTCTTTCCTTTTTTTTTTTTTTTTTTTTTGAGACAGAGTCTCACTCTGTCATACAGGCTGGAATGCAATGGCGTGATCTTGGCTCACTGCAACCTCTGCCTCCCAGGTTCTAGTGATTCTTCTGCCCCAGCCTCTTGAGTAGCGGGGATTACAGGTGCCTGCTATCACGTCTGGCTAATTTTTTTTTTCTTTTTTTTTTTTTTTTTTTTTAAGAGAGAGGATTTCGCCATGTTGGCCAGTCTGGTCTCGGACTCCTGACCTCAAGTGATCTGTCCGCCTCTGCCTGCCAGAGTGCTGGGATTACAGGCATGAGCCACTGCACCTGGCCACGAAGTTCATTTTCTAAACTGCTTACCCCAGTGTCAGGTGCATGAGAGATACTTGGGAAGTGTGGGTTATTGTTGTGGGCAGAGATTAAGAGCACAGGCTCAAGAGCTGGTCTGCTCAGGTTGAAATTGACTCTGCCTCTGTCTCAATGTGTGACCCTGGGTAAGTGACTTCACTTCTCTGAGCCTCAGTTTCAATCTCTGTCAAATAGGGTCATGATGATGATGGTATCTCTTGGTGGACTATGAGGAATAAATGAACGAATCCAGTAAACCATTTAGAACAGCTCGTGGCATGTAGTAAACCATTATTAAATGGTAGCTGTGCTATTATTGGCAGAGTTCATGAGCACAGACTCTGGAGAGCAGCTAGCAGGGGTTCAAATTCTAGCCCTGCACTGGGTGCAGGTGGAGGGGCTCAAGCCTGTAATCCCAGCATTTTGGGAGGCCAAGGCAGGAGAATCATTTGAGCCAGGAGTTCGAGACCAACCTGGGCAACATAGTGAGACACCCCCCCCGCCAAATCTTCACCAAAAAAAAAATTCCCAGCCCTGCTACTCAAGTCCTCCCACTGTGCAGAGCCCCACTCCCCTGTCTCTGCCTGTTTTCTTCATTAAATGGGGGTAACTGCAGAGCCTGGGTTACTGGGCTGTGGGAAGACTGAGTGAGATGATGCCTGGGATCCCTGACTGTGACACTGTGGGGAACTCACACTAGTGGCTGGGGCGGCACCTGCTACTATGACTCAGTGATGCTGAACTCCGTTTTCAATGTCCCCATCTCCCCACCCCCGGGGCCTCACCGTGAGGACCATGGACCGGCGGCAGCAGAGCGCGGCGCCCACACCAAAACTGGCTACCACGAAGAAGGAGAAGCCGCAGAAGATGGCGATCCAGGCACCAGCGAAGACGTCATCCTTGCCTGAGACTCCCATCAGTGGGTATATGTGGTACTGGTCGGCTGTCACCCATACGGTCTCGGCAAACAGGGCCAGGCCTGACAGCTGGACAGAGCGGCAGGTTAGGAAGGTCTGCTCGGGGCCAGCAGCCCTGGCACCAGGCATCTCCATGAGCAAGTTCCTTCCCCATTCGGAGCCTCCACTGCCCTCACAGTAAAGTGGGCAAAGACCTCGCCCTCTATGAGCAGCGATGAGGGTGAGCAGAGGCCAGGAGAGAAGAGACCCAGCCAGACAACCGACCCTCATGCCCCAGCTGCCAGTTGCTTCGGGGATGAAAGGGGATGCCACGTGGAAAGGCTGGAGCAGTGGACTGGCACAGAGGAGATGGTTCGTTCACCTGCCCTCCCTTGACGGTGTTGTTTTTCCCCGAGGAGGGGAACATAGCCATGGCCATAAAAATTACAAATGGGCCAGGCAAGGTGGCTCACACCTGCAATCCCAGCACTGTGGGAGGCCGAGGCAAGAGGATTGCTTGAGTCCAGGAGTTTGAGACCAGCCTGGGCAATAGTGAGACCCTGTCTCTACGAAAAATAAAAAAATTAGCCAGATGTGGTGATGTGCACCTGTAGTCCCAGCTAGTCGGGAGGCTAAGGCGGGAGGATCAGTTCAGCCCAGGAGTTGCAGGCTGCAGTGAGCTAGGATCACACCACTGCACTGCAGCCTGGTCAACAGAGCGAGACCCTGTCTCTAAAACAAACACAAGGCCAGGCACGGTGGCTAACACCTGTGATCCCAACACTTTGGGAGGCTGATGTGGGCCGATCATCTCAGGTCAGGAGTTCAAGACCAGCCTGGCCAACAGTAGAAACCCTGCCTCTACTAAAAATACAAAAGTAGCCGGGTGTGGTGGTGTGTGCCTGTAATCCCAGCTGCTCGGGAGGCTGAGGCAGGAGAATTGCTTGAGCCCAGGAGGTGGAGGATGCAGTGAGCTGAGATCTCGCCACTGCACTTCAGCCTGGGTGACAGAGGGAGACTCCGTCTAAAAAAAAAACAAAACTAGCCAGGTGTGGTGGTGTGCATCTGTAATCCCAGCTACTCTGGAGGCTGAGGCAGGATAATCACTTGAGCCCGGGAGTTGGAGGTTGCAGTTAGCTGAGATCGGCCACTGCACTCCAGTCTGGGCGACAGAGTGAGACTCCATCTCAAAAAAACAAAACAAAACAAAACAAAAAAACACAAAACCAAAACCCAACGTTAATTGAAAGACGCTGTTGTTTTTCCTTCTTGTGGCCTCCTGTACACCAGGCGGTCACTTTATATCCATAGTGATGCTGATGGTGATAGCCAGCATTGGTCGGGCACTTTCTCTGAGCTGAGGACCATACATGGATTAATCCACATGACAACAGCTCATGCAATGAGGACACAATCTATAGATGAGGAAAGAAGGCACAGAGAGGGACAGTCGCTTGCTAAGGTCACAGAGCTGGGGAGAGGCAGAGCTGGGATTTAAACCCAGGCTGTGCTGACCACTGAGTCTGCCCAAGAGACAGTTCTGGACCCTCATCCCCCACCCCGAGCTCAGGACTGCCCTCTCCCCACCACACAGCCACTTGGCTCCCAGCACTGGGGCGAGTCTCACCAGAATAATGATGTTGCCCACAACTAGCAGGCCCACCACAACTGGAGATCCCTTCTCGGCCTCTGCTGCTGCTGCAGACGCCATCATCCTGGGACACATGAGCAAGGATGAGGCCAGGAGTGTAAAGGGCCAGCCGGACCCCCCATCTCTGAGCCACACCCCAGCTGCGAGGGGTTGCTCCAGCTCTCTGCGGGGCCAGGCTGGTACCAATGTGCCCACAGCCCTGGCGGGGAGGCATTTTGCAGAAGAGGACACCCAGGCTCCGGTGGGGTAGTCACTGGCCCGAACTTGGCACTGCCCCTTCCTGAGCCTCAGACCCCCTATGCCACACCCAGACTTCCAGAGTCGCCTCCTCACCTTCTCTGTCTGCAGCCTCTCTGGCCATCTCCACCCACTGTGGCTCCTATATATGCCCAGGCCCCTCCTTGGGCCGGTCTCCCAGGAAGGAGGGAGGGTGTGTATGTGTGTTTTGGGGCACGGCAGGGGGTGGACAAGAGGCCGAGCCGGCAGACCAGGATGGGTGAACAGCTTCTATGGGCTCCCTGCCACCCCCATGATTTATAGACTTGAAATTCCAGATTGTGTAGGACCCATGGCCTCTGGGTCCCAGGCTCCGTTGGTGGTGGAGTTGGGGGTGGAGGGGTGCGCGCACCACCTGGCATCTCTCTTGCTAGGACATGGGCCTTCCTGGAAGTAGGAGCAAGATCCAAATCAGGGGAGGGCGTGGTAGCTCAGGCCTGTAATCCCAGCACTTTGGGAAACTGAGGTAAGCGGATCGCTTGAGCTCAGTAGTTTGAGACCAGACTGGATAACACGGTGAAACCCCGTTTCAAAAAAAAAAAAAAAATACAAAAATAATCAGCCAGACTCATGCCTGTGGTCCCAGCTACTTGGGAGGCTGAGGTGGGAGGATGGCTTGAACCTGGGGGACAGAGGTTGTAGTGAGCCAAGATCATGCCATTGCACTCCAGCTTGAGTGACAGAGCCAGGCCCTGTCTCCAAAAACAAACAAAAAATCCACTTCAGACCCACAGATGGGTCCTGAATCCCAAAAGTGCCTCTTCTGCTGTGTGACCTTGGGCAGGTGGCTGCTCCTCTGTGAAGCCGGGAACCCGTGGGGAGGCCCAGGCAGGGACCCCTGCCGAGGCCAGGGCTGCACCAAGACAGAGCAGTGGGGAGATGAGGGGACAGGTGGAAGGGGTGCTTAGGAGGCTGATTACATGGGCGGTGGGCTGAGGGAAAGGATGGCACCCAGGATAGATGTGTGAGGGGAGTCTGAGATGAGTACAAAGAGCGGGGAGAAGAACGTGCTAGAAAGTAAGAGGGGCACACTGGGCTTGATTGGAGAAAAGTCCCTGTCGCCCCCCAACACACACATGGACCAAGCAGACATGTATTTCTTCAGGCTGCAGAATGAGAAACCTAGGTTCGAATCCCGGTTCCGCCTCTTCTGGCCGGTGTGACTTGGCCTGTGGATTTGCCCACCTATGAAATGGGTGTCATCAGACTGCTTCCCGGCAGCGGTGGGGACTGAGCCAGCGCATGTCCCCAAGGGGCGATGCTGCCCACGGCCATGCCCCGCAGCTGGCTCCCAAGAGGCCATGGCCTCTCTGATGCCGCCCCCTTGTGGCGCAGGGCTGGCTCCACAGGCAAAAATGGTGGCCCGGGCCCGGGTCCCCTTCTGGGGATGGAGACACCATCCCCAGAACTTCTCAACCCCAAGGCCAGGCCGTGTATTGCCTCTGCTGTTGGAGCCGTGGTTCCCCACTGCGGTGCCTGCGAATTTGGCAAACAAATGACATTGAAAATCCCATCATCAAGGCACTGGTTTGGTAATTAGATACATGAGATATTTTCCGATTAAAATGGTTAATTTGGTTTTAGTCAACTCACTTGAGATTTTAAAATATTTGTTTTGGCCGGGCGCGGTGGCTCACGCCTATAATCCCAGCACTTTGGGAGGCTGAGGTGGGGGGATCACCTGAGGTCAGGCTGACCAACATGGTGAAACCCCATCTCTACTAAAAATACAAAATTAGCCGGGTGTGGTGGCAGGTGCCCGTAATCCCAGCTACTCAAGGAGGGGGTGCGGTGGCAGGTGCCCGTAATCCCAGCTACTCAAGGAGGCTGAGGCAGGAGAATCGCTTGAACCTGGGAGGCAGAGGTTGCGATGAGCCAAGGTCGTGACATGGTTGCACTCCAACCTGGGCGACAGAGACTCTGTCTCAACAACAACAAAAATCTGAAAAGTGTTTATTCAAGAAAAGCAGCTGGCCGGGCGCGGTGGCTCAAGCCTGTAATCCCAGCACTTTGGGAGGCCGAGACGGGCGGATCATGAGGTCAGGAGATCGAGACCATCCTGGCTAACGTGGTGAAACCCCGTCTCTACTAAAAAATACAAAAAACTAGCCGGGCGAGGTGGCAGGCACCTGTAGTCCCAGCTACTTGGGAGGCTGAGCCAGGAGAATGGCGTAAACCTGGGAGGCGGAGCTTGCGGTGAGCTGAGATCTGGCCACTGCACTCCAGCCTGGGTGACAGAGCGAGACTCCGTCTCAAAAAAAAAAAAAAAAAAAAAAAAAAGGAAAAGCAGCTGAATCCTGGAGCAGTGAACTTTATGATATTTTAAAAATTTATTTTTATTTTTGCTTTCTTGAGATACAGTCTCACTGTCGCCCAGGCTGGAGTGCAGTGGCGTGATCTCAGCTTACTGCAACCTCCGCCTCCCAGGTTCAAGCGATTCTCCTGCCTCAGCCTCCCAAGTAGCTGGGATTACAGGCACCCGCCACCACGCCCAGCTAATTTTTGTACTTCGTGACATTTTTAATTGCCCTAGTTCCATTTCCCCACTCCAGCTCCATGGTAGCCTTGAATATTAAGTGCCGGCATTCTCAGTGGAAACTAGCAGCCTGGCATATACCAAATGGAGCAGAAGAGGATGAAACTCCTTAAAAGCCTGACTCCCAGAAAGTCAGAATTATTTGATTCGTCTTGTGGTTCCTTGGAAGCCCCTGCTTGCAATATTGTCTATATTTGACCTTAGAGCTCATACATCGTCAGAATTATTTCCCCAGGGGCATTTGTGAAACACAATTGTATGCAATTGCTCAACTAGGCAGCTGCCTAAGCAATGAATAACAGTTGAGGCCAATAATAGGCTAATGAAAAAGTTTAAAAGATAAAGCTGGGGAATGAGAAGGCTTTGAAAAACTCCAAAATATTCTTGGAAATCTAGAAGGTTACATGCATGCATAGGGTTGTGTGCATGCCCAGGAGTATATGCAGGCTCAAGAAAGACCAGAGATGAGAACCCAGTCTTCTTACATTGGGCTGACCTTGAGGATGTGTGCCTTCCTGGGAGAAGTCATGACGATGGCAGAGTTGTCAATTGCCTGGCTCAATTGCATGGCCCACCATGCCTCAGCAAAGGCTAGGAGATTATTGGTTCTTGGAGGCTAAGGAAATCTTTGTCCAATCATTAGCTGAACACATGCTAAAGAATACCGTCTTTTTTTTTTTTTTTTTTTTTGAGACGGAGTGTTGGCCAGGCTAGTCTCAAACTCCTGACTTCAAGTGAACCTCCCACTTTGGCCTCCCAAAGTGCTGGGATTCCAGGTGTAAGCCACCATGCCTGGCCTAAAAGCAGAAATTATTTAAAAAGAACTAAACAGAAATTTGGAACTTGAAAATTACAGTAACTAAAATGAAAATACTCAAATGGGCCGGGCGCAGTGGCTCACGCCTATAATCCCAGCACTTTGGGAGGCCGAGGTGGGCAGATCACGAGGTCATGAGATTGAGGCCATCCTGGCTAACATAGTGAAACCCTGTCTCTACTAAAAATAAACAAAATTAACCGGGCATGGTGGCATGCGCCTGTAGTCCCAGCTACTTGGGAGGCTGAGGCGACAATCACTTGAACTTGGGAGGTGGAGGTTGTGGTGAGCCAAGATCACGCCACTGCACTCCAGCTTGGGCGACAGAGTCAGACTCTGTCCCCGTGCCCCCCTCCAAAAAAAAAAACAGCCAGGCATGGTGGTTCACACTTGTAATCCCAGCACTTTGGGAGGCCGAGGCAGGCGGATCACAAGGTCAAGAGACCGAGACCATCTGGCCAACATAGTGAAACCCCGTCTCTACTAAAAATACAAAAAATTAGCCAGGCATGGTGGTGCATGCCTATAGTCCCAGCTACTAGGGAGGCTGAGGCAGGAGAATCGCTTGAACCCGGGAGGCGGAGCTTGCAGTGAGCCAAGATCACGCCACTGCACTCCAGCCTGGGCAACAGAGTGAGACT